CGTCATTATTTAACCGCTTAAACCGGCGCACGCTTGTTTTAATAACAATACTAACGCTCGGGTTAATATTATTCTTATAATTAAATAAGAAAGCTATAAAAGATATAAAAAAGAGTTAAACCCGAAAGATTATCTTGCATTTTCGTTGCTATTTTTATCTTCTTTATTATATTATATACGCTTCGTACTAATACCGATCCAGCGATGCATTATTAAATAGTATTTTAAAACCGTATTGCGATTATGCAATTCGGCTATATGCTCGTCTTGCAAACCTAATTCTATCACTTTAATAAAAAGTGACTCGAAAGCGAGTCTGATTCGAAAGAAAAACGTATGTAATAGAATTAAAGCTTTGTATTTGTTTTATTTATATATATAATACTAATGCTAAGCACTTTTGTCACGTAAGTGCGCTGCATGCTTTAGCTTTGCTAAGCACGTAATTAAGTCACGTAATTAGATCACGTGTAAGCTCTTATATAAACGAGTAGTTAGTTCCTCTTTAAACCAGCACTATATTAACACACAATACAATACACGTACTTACAGCACACATTCGAGTGTCTTTCGATCGTCCTTCTTTTCGCTTTTTATTCACTTACGATTCTACTATAACTATATTCATATATATCTCTTGATTTGACGTTAAGTATATGTCGGAGCTCTTCCCTTCCATAATATTCTTCTTTTTTTATATACACTAGATTTTTTTCTTTCTTTTATACTTTTTTTTTTCTTCTTGCTTGATAGTAAGCGGGGACGCTTACTTATTCTATTAAAAGACGGATGTAAACACTTTGTTTAATAAGGTACTTGCCGCAACTATTAGGGCTATACTAAATGGACTTATCTTTTATAAAAGGGCACACATCTCTTAGCTAGAACAATCAACGAGCTTTCCACTTATCTTTTTCGGCACCTCTTTTTTATAAGACTATGAAGTCCAGCCTCAGTGTCAAGCTTCTGTATGACACGTCTTTTTAGGTGCTTCTACATTGATCGGATAAGATTTATCTGCTCGCTTATAAAAGTAATTATTTTTAACTAAGTAATTAAGTGCTTTGTTCTTGAACTTTTAAAAGTCGTAAGTCTTGATCGAAGAAAAGCGTTTAAAAGTAATAAAGAATTAAGTAATAAGCTCGAAATCGAGCGAGTACTCGTGCTTTAAAACTCTTTTTTTAGCTCGTAAACTATAGTTTACGAGTCGTTTAATCGAAAATATTAAAACAATACTTAGCTCGTTAATAACTTAATCGTTAATATCTTTTTCCTTTTTCTTTTTAATATTTAAAAGATGCTCTTTTCTTTTTTTAAAAAGACCGTTCGTTGCTATGTTTTTAATCTTAAAGATATACTTAACTTTAAAGTCTATCAATCTTATTTACGCAATCTAATTCGTAACGAAAGCTTTAAGCAAGTCGCTCGTTGACTTATTAAGTTAATCAATTAATACTTTAACGTCGGTTTTTAAAATAAAGTGAACTTCGTATAATTCGCTTTTTATTTTTTTTATAGCTTTTAAAGCACCGCGGCATTCTCGCTTGATCGCGTCGTACTTGCTTTTCGTAAGGTTTTAAAAACTACTTTCGAACTTAGCAAGATATCGCTTTTTATTAAAGTCTTTTTACTATAATACCGCTTTTTATATTTTAAGATTAGCGTTTACCGTTAAGTAGATTTTTCCTTTTTCTTTATTATAATCGATCTTAATAAAAGCGGAAGCAAAAAGCAAAGCTTTTTTAAGCAGCTTTATCGCTTTTTATTAAAGCTTTAATTACTCGAATTCGACCTTCTTTTTTATAATCGCGTAGATTAAAGCAGCAATCGTAAAGAAGTTTTTGATTTAGATTTTATAATAAACTACGATCTTAATAAAAGCTCGAGCTTTCGATATATCTTCGCACTTAATTTATTTTAATATCTTTTTAATTTTAACGGTTTAAAAATAACGTCTTTCGCTATTCGTAACGAATCTAACGATATTAAAGCCGAGTATATAATATTAAGACTTAATTCCGACGGTCGTTTTAGCTCTTTTAAACTTTACGAGCACTTTATCGATATTTTAAATGTATTTTAAAACGAATCGTCGAATTTCGAGCAGAACTTCTTTGTAATTATAAAAAAATCGTAATCTTTTAACTTTTACGTTATTTATATAAAGCAAGCAGACGTTAAAAATGCAATTTATAAAGATCTTATAAATAACTTTAACGAATTAAGCGATCGAATTAATAGCTTTTATAAATATTCGAATTATTCGAAACAGTTTGATAAGCGTTTAAATAGCTGTTATGTTTTTAAACTTGACGTCGAAAAAGAATTGATTGTATTTAAAAAAGAAATCTAAGAGTATAGCTATCGTAAGACTAGCAAATTCGTTCGAAAACTAGTTTACGTTCGAATCAATATTAGCATTTTTAATCGTAACACGGTTCATTTTAATTACGATAATAATCAGCTTATATTTTCTTTTTTCTTTTTTTTATTATAATAAACCATTTGTTTCGATAAAAGCTTTAGTATAGTTCGAGAACCTTTTGCTTTAATCGTTCTTTTAATATAATAATAACTATTTCTTATAAAGCTTTCGATACAGTAAACGTTTTCTTTTATTAAGCTTCGTAAAGCATCGTTTTAATCTTTTAAAATAGCATAACTTCTTTCCGGACTTGGCCAAGATAAGTAAAATCTTAAGCTATCGCTTTTTTTCGATTTAAAAAGCATTAATAAAGCAGCTTTTTCTTTTCCGGAGTAACTTAAAAGCTAATCGTAAGTGCTTCGAATCGTTCTTTCGTTAATCTTAATCCAACTTTTAAGTTCGAAATAGGCTGCTCCATGGGGTGGGGGCCCTATGGGGTTTTCCTCCCCATTCCCCCCATGGGGTCTTGGCCGATGGGGGACTTTTTTTTTAAACCCTATGGGGAGGATTTTTTTAAGTCAAATTCCCTACGAGGGATAGGGAAACCCCTATGGGTTTAAAGTGGGGACAGCTAAAAATATATATG